CTACCTGTTTACCTACTACCCTGTTTACCCACTACCTGTTTACCTACTACCTGTTTACCCACTACCTTGTTTACCTACTACCTGTTTACCTACTACCTGTTTACCTACTACCTGTTTACCTACTACCTGTTTACCTACTACCTGTTTACCTACTACCTGTTTACCTACTACCTGTTTACCTACTACCCTGTTTACCCACTACCTGTTTACCCACTACCTGTTTACCTACTACCTTGTTTACCTACTACCTGTTTACCCACTACCTGTTTACCCACTACCTGTTTACCTACTACCTGTTTACCCACTACCTGTTTACCCACTACCTGTTTACCCACTACCTGTTTACCCACTACTTGTTTACCCACTACTTGTTTACCCACTACCTGTTTACCTACTACCTGTTTACCCACTACCTGTTTACCTACTACCTGTTTACCCACTACCTGTTTACCCACTACCTGTTTACCCACTACCTGTTTACCCACTACTTGTTTACCCACTACTTGTTTACCCACTACCTGTTTACCTACTACCTGTTTACCCACTACCTGTTTACCTACAACCTTGTTTACCCACTACTTGTTTACCCACTACCTGTTTACCCACTACTTGTTTACCCACTACCTGTTTACCTACTACCTTGTTTACCCACTACTTGTTTACCCACTACCTGTTTACCTACTACCTGTTTACCTACTACCTGTTTACCCACTACCTGTTTACCTACTACCTGTTTACCTACTACCTGTTTACCCACTACCTGTTTACCCACTACCTGTTTACCCACTACCTGTTTACCCACTACCTTGTTTACCCACTACCTGTTTACCTACTACCTGTTTACCTACTACCTGTTTACCCACTACCTGTTTACCCACTACCTGTTTACCCACTACCTGTTTACCCACTACCTGTTTACCCACTACCTGTTTACCCACTACCTTGTTTACCCACTACCTGTTTACCCACTACCTTGTTTACCCACTACCTGTTTACCCACTACCTGTTTACCCACTACCTTGTTTACCTACTACCTGTTTACCTACTACCTTGTTTACCCACTACCTTGTTTACCCACTACCTGTTTACCCACTACCTGTTTACCCACTACCTGTTTACCCACTACCTTGTTTACCCACTACCTGTTTACCTACTACCTGTTTACCCACTACCTGTTTACCCACTACCTGTTTACCCACTACCTGTTTACCCACTACCTTGTTTACCCACTACCTGTTTACCCACTACCTGTTTACCCACTACCTGTTTACCTACTACCTGTTTACCCACTACCTGTTTACCCACTACCTGTTTACCCACTACCTGTTTACCCACTACCTTGTTTACCTACTACCTGTTTACCTACTACCTGTTTACCTACTACCTTGTTTACCTACTACCTTGTTTACCCACTACCTGTTTACCCACTACCTTGTTTACCTACTACCTGTTTACCTACTACCTTGTTTACCCACTACCTGTTTACCCACTACCTTGTTTACCTACTACCTGTTTACCTACTACCCTGTTTACCCACTACCTGTTTACCCACTACCTGTTTACCCACTACCTGTTTACCCACTACCTGTTTACCCACTACCTTGTTTACCTACTACCTGTTACCTACTACCTGTTTACCTACTACCCTGTTTACCCACTACCTGTTTACCCACTACCTGTTTACCTACTACCCTGTTTACCTACTACCTTGTTTACCCACTACCTGTTTACCTACTACCCTGTTTACCCACTACCTGTTTACCCACTACCTGTTTACCCACTACCTGTTTACCTACTACCCTGTTTACCCACTACCTTGTTTACCCACTACCTGTTTACCTACTACCCTGTTTACCCACTACCTGTTTACCCACTACCTGTTTACCCACTACCTGTTTACCCACTACCTGTTTACCCACTACCTTGTTTACCTACTACCTGTTTACCTACTACCTGTTTACCTACTACCCTGTTTACCCACTACCTGTTTACCCACTACCTGTTTACCTACTACCTGTTTACCTACTACCTTGTTTACCTACTACCTTGTTTACCTACTACCTTGTTTACCCACTACCTTGTTTACCTACTACCCTGTTTACCCACTACCTGTTTACCCACTACCTGTTTACCCACTACCTTGTTTACCTACTACCTTGTTTACCCACTACCTGTTTACCCACTACCTGTTTACCTACTACCTGTTTACCTACTACCTTGTTTACCTACTACCTTGTTTACCTACTACCTTGTTTACCCACTACCTGTTTACCCACTACCTTGTTTACCTACTACCTTGTTTACCCACTACCTTGTTTACCTACTACCTTGTTTACCTACTACCTTGTTTACCTACTACCTTGTTTACCTACTACCTTGTTTACCTACTACCTTGTTTACCCACTACCTTGTTTACCTACTACCCTGTTTACCCACTACCTGTTTACCCACTACCTGTTTACCCACTACCTGTTTACCTACTACCTGTTTACCTACTACCTGTTTACCTACTACCTGTTTACCTACTACCTTGTTTACCTACTACCTGTTTACCTACTACCTTGTTTACCTACTACCTTGTTTACCTACTACCTTGTTTACCTACTACCTTGTTTACCAACTACCTTGTTTACCTACTACCTTGTTTACCTACTACCTTGTTTACCAACTACCTTGTTTACCTACTACCTTGTTTACCTACTACCTTGTTTACCTACTACCTTGTTTACCTACTACCTTGTTTACCTACTACCTTGTTTACCTACTACCTTGTTTACCTACTACCTTGTTTACCAACTACCTTGTTTACCTACTACCTTGTTTACCTACTACCTTGTTTACCTACTACCTTGTTTACCTACTACCTTGTTTACCTACTACCTTGTTTACCTACTACCTTGTTTACCCACTACCTGTTTACCTACTACCTGTTTACCTACTACCTGTTTACCTACTACCTGTTTACCTACTACCTGTTTACCTACTACCTTGTTTACCTACTACCTTGTTTACCTACTGCCTTGTTTACCTACTACCTTGTTTACCTACTACCTTGTTTACCTACTACCCTGTTTACCTACTACCTTGTTTACCTACTACCTTGTTTACCTACTACCTTGTTTACCTACTGCCTTGTTTACCTACTACCTTGTTTACCTACTACCTTGTTTACCTACTACCTTGTTTACCTACTACCCTGTTTACCCACTACCTTGTTTACCTACTACCCTGTTTACCTACTACCTTGTTTACCTACTACCTTGTTTACCTACTACCTTGTTTACCTACTACCTTGTTTACCTACTACCTTGTTTACCTACTACCTTGTTTACCTACTACCTTGTTTACCTACTACCTTGTTTACCTACTACCTGTTTACCTACTACCTTGTTTACCTACTACCTTGTTTACCTACTACCTTGTTTACCTACTACCTTGTTTACCTACTACCTGTTTACCTACTACCCTGTTTACCTACTACCTTGTTTACCCACTACCTGTTTACCCACTACCTGTTTACCTACTACCTGTTTACCCACTACCTGTTTACCCACTACCTGTTTACCTACTACCTGTTTACCCACTACCTGTTTACCTACTACCTGTTTACCCACTACCTGTTTACCCACTACCTGTTTACCTACTACCCTGTTTACCTACTACCTTGTTTACCCACTACCTGTTTACCCACTACCTGTTTACCCACTACCTGTTTACCTACTACCCTGTTTACCCACTACCTGTTTACCCACTACCTTGTTTACCCACTACCTGTTTACCCACTACCTGTTTACCTACTACCTGTTTACCTACTACCTGTTTACCCACTACCTGTTTACCTACTACCCTGTTTACCCACTACCTTGTTTACCCACTACCTGTTTACCCACTACCTGTTTACCCACTACCTGTTTACCTACTACCTGTTTACCTACTACCTGTTTACCCACTACCTGTTTACCTACTACCTTGTTTACCCACTACCTTGTTTACCCACTACCTGTTTACCCACTACCTGTTTACCCACTACCTGTTTACCCACTACCTGTTTACCTACTACCTTGTTTACCCACTACCTGTTTACCTACTACCCTGTTTACCCACTACCTGTTTACCCACTACCTGTTTACCTACTACCTTGTTTACCCACTACCTGTTTACCTACTACCTTGTTTACCTACTACCCTGTTTACCTACTACCTTGTTTACCTACTACCCTGTTTACCTACTACCCTGTTTACCCACTACCTTGTTTACCTACTACCTTGTTTACCTACTACCTTGTTTACCTACTACCTTGTTTACCTACTACCTTGTTTACCTACTAGCCTGTTTACCTACTACCTTGTTTACCTACTACCCTGTTTACCTACTACCTTGTTTACCTACTACCTTGTTTACCTACTACCTTGTTTACCTACTACCCTGTTTACCTACTACCTTGTTTACCTACTACCTTGTTTACCTACTAACTTGTTTACCTACTACCCTGTTTACCTACTACCTTGTTTACCTACTACCTTGTTTACCTACTACCTTGTTTACCTACTACCCTGTTTACCTACTACCTTGTTTACCTACTACCTTGTTTACCTACTACCTTGTTTATCCACTACCTTGTTTATCTACTGCCTGTTTACCTACTGCCTGTTTACCGCTCGCTAAAAGCTCCGTGGCGAAGTCCGTGGCCTCCATTTAAAATGGGAATCATCGAGAGTATTATATAGATGAATAAAGCGCTCTACCTAGCATTTACCTGTTCTAAACCTATTTCATGTGTAGTAGTACCCCAGTAATTACCCTGTAATCGGGTAATTTGTATGGGGTAAGGGTAAAAGGTAGGGTACGGGTAGGCTCGTTGCTTTTGACCTTTTACCTTACCTTGCCGAGGCCTACTCCAATTGTGCGGCAGCGTCCGGAAAACGATGACAGCCGGCGTTCTATGACGATGACATAACGCGGTGCGTGCGTTCATCCCCGTGGCCGTGCTGCGTGCGCAGGTGAACTGTGCGGAGGGTTGCTGAAGGGCAGCAACGGGACGGTGGAAAGCCCCGGCTACCCCTACGGATACCCCAACGGGGCCAACTGCACGTGGACCATACAGACGGAGGAGCCCAACCGGATCCAGCTGGTCTTCCTCTCCTTCGCCCTGGAGGAAGACTACGACCTGCTCGCCGTCTTCGAGGGCCAGCCCAGCCAAGGGAACCTGCGCATGAGGTAACGCGGTTTGGGCTCGTTGTGCCGCTGCTGCGTTGCCCCGTTAAGGGGATCGAATCAAGCCCCGCGAATCGCTGGTGGAAGGGCCTCCACTAGAGGGAGCTCTCGAGAGCCCCCCCCCCTCCCCTTTATCGAAGGTACTTGGCCTCCTCTTCAATGCTGCGATGGACATCTTGGAAGGTCGTGGGCAGGTACCCACGACTTCAACCCCGCCGGGTACGGCCTGCTGACCGGATTGCTGTGGTGAACCCGCGTACACGGCTGGGTTGCACAGAGGGTCGGGGTGGGGGTGGGGAGGGGGATTCAGGAAACTCGCCCCATTGTTTATGCTTTGTTGTGCCGGACGGCCGAATTGAACCGGAGGACATTCGGCAGTGCAAGGTCGGTGCGCCGAGCCTCTGATGACGAGTGTACGCGCGCCGTTCCGAATTCAGTTTCAAGTTGAATGTGGAGGCGAGAACTCACGAGACCGGGAGAGTCTCGTTTGCAAGGGTGAGCTGGGTCACGCAAATGCACAACAGCAAAATAAATCAAATGTGAGGCGAATATAAATCGGAGCAAAACTCATCGTTCACGTGATAAATCTAAGATATTGCACGAACATGAATTGACGTTTAACGATACATTTTCCACGTAGTGCAAGTTGGCTTGGGCGAATAGATTTATGAGACAATTAAAAAATTAAGCGACAGAAACGCTAAAGAAATACAAGAGGTTGTCATTGAAAAAGGAGCACCACTCTCATATGCCCTAAATTCTGTTAATCCGTTGATACGTGAGTAGCTCCTTCACAAATCCATGCTGCAATTACGAATAGCTCGATGGAGGCAAGGGTTTTGTGGCTCGAAAAAACCTCAAATCCACGAGGATACAAGGGGGCCAGGAGATGGCAATACAGCAAGTGTATGTGTTTGTGAACCCGGTCCGTGTGGGATTTTTTCTTTTTCGTGAGCTCTGAACGGCGTTTTCTCGTCAAAAGGAGCATAACCCATCCTGCGAACTGCGATCATCCTCACAGCAGCGGCTTTAGGCTGCTGGCCATCGAACAAAGACGGTCACTTTGCGCACACTCAGATGTGCTTTTGTGTCCGTCTGGAACGCTCTTCGTTCCGATAATATGAAGCCACTAGAGCCAGGCACTTTTAAATCATCTCGTTTGAAAACTAATTTCTTTATACCTGCTTTGTGTGTTTAGTTTGTTGCCCTTCTCCCCGCACCTCCAATGAGCACGGTTGGCTATGCATGGCGCGAAAGAAGTTCAACACATATACTTGCATACATTTGTTAAGTGAAGCGTCCCATTTTAGCCAGTTACCCTGCTGTGTTGCAAGTGAGGTACGGAGGAATAGGCAACAACGGAACAGAATGCGTCTGAGGTGCAGGCAACAACAGTGGCTGAAGAACAGAAATTAGCAATTAGTAATAGACTAAACGTGAGGCACATTGCCTGTGCATCTCTGCTGAGCATGGCTGTATATGTACGTTGCGAGAAGAAGTTCAATGTACACACACATACGCAACAATAATAACAACCGCCATTTGTCACTAAGTGGCAGGGACATCACCACGACGTTTGTGCCAGGCCATGTGCACCTTGAGGCCACGTGAAGAGGTGAACGCCCGCTGACAGGAGGTCACGGGGCAGACCCAGGTGCCACGGGTCGACTGACTGAGACGACCAAGACGACTGGCTGATGCACTCCTGTGCCCCCTACTGTGCCAACGTTCTGTGCAACCAATTCGGGGGCGTTAATCACAGTCACAGAAGGACAGATCTGGGCTATTATATATGTAAATTACAGTGTATACATTTGTATATATTGATTGTTGTATCAAGGGAACGGGGCTGCCACACGTTCCCCGAGCGCACAGCAGTGCCCCACAGGAGCATGGCAAGGGCCTCCGGTACGCGGATTGAAATTACGAGGCCGCACTTCCAATCCCCCCCCCACCCCTCTCCCGTCATAGAACGACACCCGGGACCATTGCGGACCCCTGTGCAGTTATACCGCCTGCACTCCCGACGTCGCCGCAACATCAGAATGCTCGCTCGTTTTCCTCTTTCTGCCCATTGATGATCAGCTGCATGACGTAGCGCCGGGGTTCCAACTCAAATTCAATTCGAAGGGCTCATTCACAGCCAAGGTAAATTGATTGGCACCGCACCCATGCCCACAGTTTCCTTCTGGCAGACGGAATAACCCACAGCAGCAGCTGCTGCTGCTGCTGTGGGTTATTCCGCTCATGGATTTATTTCAATTGATGCTGTGATTGTTAGGGCTTCCCTATAACAGCAAGTGCCCTCCTGTTTACTATAGCTTAGAATCAACACCGAGTGGCAGCTCTTGTATTCATGGGTTCTCTCTCAATAATTTTCTCCACTTGTAAAAAGAAATAAGCCTAAATGAGAGGTCCGCCAAACTTTTCAATTGTAGGCCCCCATGACAAAGAGTGGTGAAGCTCAGTGAGGCTTTCATGGGAAAATAACCAAATTTTTACAGGAGATGACATTTCCCTGGGCAATCTGGCTTGGCCCCGTGTCTCTATCATGGTTCTTATCACTCTTTCCATCACGAATCCCTCATCCCGCACTGGAATAATTCTACCACCAAACACATTTACATCTTCCTGCGCACAGCCTCTGTCCAGCTGCTATTGCTCAGGCAAAAGTTGAGTTCATATTCAATTACCAATCACTTTACTCGTGAATATTTCATTGCAATTGCCAAAACTGCCTCAGAAAACGGTTAACTTAAATTTGCCCCTTTCAATGCCCTCCTCTTTCCATTGTTAGTGACCCTAACTTTAACGTTAAAACCTTGAACCTGCTTTTCTGTTATTCCGCTGTAGACAAACCAGGGCCGATCGTGACCTGTGTTTCCAGCCATGGCTCCAATTTAGTTGTGTAACCGTTCAGTTATCAGTGTGTTCATATCGTGGCGATCACCAAAGCCTTATTTTGTGATTCCTGTCATCATCTTGTATACATGTCAACCTAGCTCCCCTGTTATCTCCACCAGTTAGCTTAAAAATTGCACGTTATATTGTCATGCTGGAATGCACTTTTCCTCAACTGTCCCGAAGAAAGATGACCCATTTAATCTCTCAAACCACTGGCCAATTTGACCTCACTCATGTTCTCTCAAGAGCTGTGGAGTCCATAATTGCTGAGGCAATTGTTCAATCATTTAGGAAAAGATTCTCTAATTAGTGAGCGCCAAACGGGCTCAATGAAGGTCACGCAGCAGCTGTCCTCCATCCTCCCGTGTCCCATCTGAGAGTTATGCCCCCAGAGTGCCTCAGCGAGTCAAGACTTCTCACTCTCAACTTTGCTCACGTCTCTGATAGAGGATAGCACTCGGGACGGTTCTAAAAGCTTCCATCCATTCAAGCAAACTATTTGCTCTTGCATTGCTATCTTTTCATCCGGTTATTCTGTATCTACCATAATTTATGGTTTCTGCTCTGCCACATTTCCTATTCAAAAGTATAACCCAGGGCTCTGTCTTGTCCTCAGCCGTTTTATCTTGTTTATTAATTATCCACTTATCATCGCGTGCAACCCGATCTTCTGTGGCGGCGGCAATGATGACATCACACTTCATTTCAGCTCTTCGTTCAAAGCTCCAGCTAGTCGCTCCACCTTCAGCAGCCAGAATAGATGTGGGTGCCACGCCAAGGTGCTAACCGTTGCCGGTTCCCTAGCAGAGCCACGATAAACTTGTCACATGTCACACTTCTAAGACGCGGGCACTCAATGTTTCCACGGCGCGAGCACAAACACCACCTCGAATCTCTTCGTCGGTCTGTTCCACCTTATTGCATGGTCTTACTCATGGACTGTGTGTCACAAAAACCTCAGTACTTGTACGTAGATCAATTGATTTGTGAATTTTTTATATTTATTGATGCTATTTTGTCGCGAAATGGAATTCCCAGCACGACCTGGAAATTCCCGCAAGCACATTTATTCTCTTTACTCACGTGAATTGGCAAAATAACACGACGAATTGCCACACAACGCGCATCTCACTTGCGCGTGTCTGCGAGCGAGTCCCACAGTAGGCCTGCGACATCTCAGATGAGTTGCAACCTCCAGTCCACGCTGGGGTTTGTCCTGGAGACTGCCTCCCTCTCATCCACTAAGCCCCATGGATGTAAGCGGATTATAACACAGTCCTCTGACTTTCCTATTTGCCATGCAAAGTCATGGATGATAGGAAGGGCTCATCCTCGAACAATGGGGGGAGAATTGTACATCCGCTTTATTTATTGCACAACAGGGGTCATGGATAAAATGCCCACGAACTACATCTGCGGCGTCTGCTTCTGTGGGCCATTCTCTAACATGACGCTGCTGGCACGTAATGAATAGAATTATTGAAAACGGACCTCCCCACATCCTTCACCTCCCCACATCTCTCATCTCTGCACTCCAGATGATCCAACATGCCCACGGGCAGACTTCTTATCCGCACACGTTAATGAGACCACATTATCCCAAGACACCATCCCCTCCGCTGACTCCGAGTCCAATCCCTGTGCGGTACGAGGCCGTGTAACCACATTGTACTGTTTGAGATCCGATTGTTACAAATATCCCGTGTCCACATTGCTACGACTTGTTTGCTGCCACGTGTGATTTATTTCACGAGGCATACGATATGCGTTGCCTCGTAGCTTCATCTCAAACCTGTTTGGCTTAATTCGCAGCTATATTCGAAGCCAGGAAGACCGCGACTCCCACACACACACGGCTACATCGAGTGAATGCTAAACATTCCCCAGTGTTCGGGGAAAACAAACACTGCTCTAATTAGGTACTTTATTTCAGGAGTATATATTAGCTTTCAGAGTTTTTCAAGACGTCCAATATCATTCCTATTAAAACAAATATGCATGCACGATATCCCATGATGTGTGAGAGCCGCAAATATAATAAAAACAAATATACTGCTCAAAGAAGTTTCCTATGATATAAATTATGTATTAGCGTATGA